TGTAGAACTCATTGGAGGTCACCACACAGGAACTGCTTTTTTTTTTTTATTAAGAGAAAGGAATATTATCAGAAAAGAGTACCTCCATAGCCGATCATCTGACACCCTTTAAGTGATCAAAATTAAGGATATTTAAAGCATGCGTTAATCTTTGATTTACCAATAGTTTTATCCTATCAAGGAGTAATCCCCCTTTTCTTTCTTTCTTTTTTTTTTTAATCTTTAATCTACACTTACATGAAGAATACTATGTTTACTATGCTCTCCCCTATACCAGGTCCCCCCTAAAAACCACATTACAGTCACTGTCGGACTGCCTCTTTTTAGCCAAACCCTCTGCATCCTTTTACCCAGGGCCCCCACTAACCTGTTCTCTGCCACTATTGTTTGCCCTCTCCAAAATGTATAGAAATGGGATTTCCACTGTGAGCCTTCTGGGCCTGGCTGTCTGCACTTAACATTTTAAGATTCATGAATGTTCTTAATTTTTTCCATGGTGTGGGGGAACGTCATCAAATGAAGGGCATGGGGGTTGTTTCCATCTTAGGGCAATTTTAAATGAAACTGCTGTAAACATCCATGTTTAGGCTTTTATGGGCACATAAGTTTTCAGGTTATTTTTTTTTTTAGTAGAGAATATTTGTGATATGGTATATGAATGTGTAAATAAAATAGGCACATACATAGTACTTAGTATGAACCAGCTACTGTGTAAGCACTTTTTATCATAATAAGGGCAAACACGCTAAGAAAATAGGTTGAGGTATATACTGTTATCAATTCCAATTTTTCAGAATTGAAACTGAGGCCCTGAAAGGTTGAATAATTTTCCCAAGACCACAACTGGAAAAGTGATGGAGCAGGGTCACATTCAGTCTTACCCATGCCTCTGTCCACTGCCTTCCATATACAGCATGTAAATGTGAGTGTGTGCGTATGCGCGTGTGCATAAAAATGGATACGCTTCTAAACTGCCTGTAGTGGGGGGTACACAAGTCACAGTGTTACTTCTGGGGAGTGTTGACAGTCTGGTATGGGCCTTTCTGTCACTTTTTTATGTGTGCGTGCCCCTGTGATCAGGAGTAGTGATCAGCACTCTGCATTCAGTTTGGCATCCATTTGCATAGATTTTATGTCTTGGAGATTCATTTTGGCCGAAGCATAGATCAGCATTTTCCACAGCTGCCTAGTATCCGGTCTTTCCTATTCTGATGCATATCACGGACTGCCCCAGGGCCCAGCCACACTCCTGAAGCCCTGCAGTCACACACCCCCCACGGACAGTCTTGCCTTGAGTCTGGGGTTGTTCTGCCTGTCACTCGTCCTCCCCACTCCCTCAGTGGGTCAGCTCATTCAGGGCAGTGATTCTTGTCTTTCTGGGTGACTGCAGGTCGCCCAGCTCCTGGCACATAGCAGGTACTGGGGCTACTTGTTGATTGACTGAACAGGTGAGCAAAGTGAGGAGGACAAAAAGCCCACCCGCCTGGTTTCGACACGGAGGAAGGGAGTAACATTGGCTCTCTTTCCACAGGTGTCCGCCTGGGATGACCGCCGGGCAGAGGGCACGTTCCCTGGGAAGATCTGAACTGGCCCCGCCCCACCTCTCTGCTCTCTTCCTTCTCCCAGGGCGGTGAAAGGGGACCTGGACACATGGCGACCCCCCCTGGGATCCTGAATCATAGCTTAACTAATAATAAATACTCATTGGAAAAGTATAAGACTGTGTATGTATAAAAGAGCTGAATGATTGGCCAAGAGCCAGGGTTGGAATTAGTACTTTAACCAATATGAGGGGCTTCAGGTGATTATTTTTTCTGTTTTATTTTCTTTTGTTTTTTTATTTCTTATTTTATTAAACTTTGACCACCTCCTCTATACCAGATGGTAGGGTGAGTGATTATACAAAGTAACCTCAATCCCCTGTGCATGCTAAAATTTATCTGTATGATACACTTTATTAACTGTACAGTTTTTTAAAACTTACATTATTTTTGAACAACATAGAACTAGCATAATAAAAGCTCCTATGTACCTATCACTGGCTTGAACAATTACAAAGAAATGACTAATTGATTTCATCTTTTTTTTTCTTTCCTCAACCAGTGAATTTTAATATTAATATTTAATACATTAAGTAAATGTGCTCCCCTCCCCCTCTGGGTAATTTTAAAGCAAGTCCCAGAGATCATATTTTATCCAGAACTAGGTATATGTATCTCAGAGATACAGATTTATTTTACATACAAACCATACTACCATTATTACACCTAAGAAATTAACAGTAAATTATTTATCATCTAAGAAGCAGTCTTCTGTACAATGTGTAAAATTCTTGCTGTGTTTTGGGCCTCCTCTTTTATGTTGATCACCATGATGACTGAAAGCCAAATTAAGAAATGTTCTTTCTTGATGCCCCCAAAGGAATTGCCACACAATAATGGTCCAAAAATGCCATCCATCAAACCTGTCAGCAGGGACCCCCTGAGACAGCATGACCAGCTAGAGCATCATGTTGTGGCCAAATTGGTGTTGATCCAAAACTTGTTCGGATGGTTGTGTGACAAATTATTCAAACAGGTGATTGTTAAGGACAAATTGTCCTAGGGAGCGATCTTCTGACATGGGTGCCTGTGAGGAGGAAGGGCTGTAAACTGGACCCTAGAGAAGGCATAGGGACTTTGAGGGACTGTAGAAGCTTATGGCATATGTTAGAAATGAGAAAGAACTTAAACTTGGTGAAATTTCAAATGACACAGGAAGTCCAATGAAAAGTTAAAATGTAGGACATCCCCTGACGTCTGTTGTCCAATCCCAGAGGCTGCCACCATTAGAAGTTTCCCATGTAGCTTTCCAGAGATAGCTCATACATCGAGAAACATTTATAAATATGTATTTGATAAAAATTTGATATGACTCTTGTAGTTCCTCTCTGATCTACCACTTCTCATTTGGTACTGTATGAGCAAATGAGAAGTTTCAGTGCACCAGGCTGGCTCCAATCTGAAGGCCTTTGCATTTGCTGTTTACTCTCCCTGCAATGACTTTCCACCAGATACCCACCCACTTTCTCCCTCCTGCGTTCAGGTCTTCCTCAAATGGACCCTCAAGGCCTTCCCTTATCATTCGACCTACTATTTCAACTTCTGCTCACACACTGCAGACCTTCACTCCTTTTGTTTCTTAAGCACTTCCCATTAATATTCCCTATATTTTACTTTCTCATCCTTGATAATTGTCCCCCTATCAATAGAATGAACTTTCTGTGATGGCAGGGAATCTTAAAAATACTTTTCCCCCATTCATAATTTGATGAAAATTTTCAGGTGTACAGAAAAAGTGGGCAAACAGTATGATTGCCCTTATACCCACCACATACATCTAACAGTTGTTAGTATTGTGTCATATTTACTATGCTTATATGTACACATTTTTACTGACTCATTTAAAAGTTTACAAACATCTTGACACTTCACTCCTAAATGCTTAATCATGTATCTCTGAAAAATGACATGTTGCTTCATACCATTAGCACTCCTAAGAAAAATTAATTCCCTAGTGTTTCATATTCAGATTTCCCAAATTGTACCCCCAAAATTTATACTGTTTAGTTTGTTTTCTGTACCAAGGTCCAATCTAGGTTCACATTCTGCGTTTGGATTTTAGGTTTCTAGGTTCTTTTTAATTCTGAAACAGCCCCCCCCACCCCCGCCTGCCCTCATAAGATGGACCTTTTTAAGAGGCCAGCTGTATTTTAGAATGTCCCCCACTCTGAATTTGCCTACTCTCTTCCTCATGGTGTCTTCTAGCTGCTTCTACCATCTTTTGCCAAGCAGTTTCTCATCTGCTTACCTCTTGCGGGAACTGCTTTAAGACCGTTTCTCATCCACCTTCCTTGTGTCAGTGGAGTGCAGGACCTTATTACCTTATCCCTTAGGACTAGCTGCAGGCTGTAAAACTCCAAAGACACATGCTGAGGCACCTTACCTGTGTTGCCTCAGGCCTTTCAACAACTCCATGAACAATGTATCATTCTGACTTCAGTTTTACAAGTGAGAAAACTGATTCTTCCATCCCTCTGCCAGTTAATGTGGCTGTGGGTTTCTGTATCAGAGGGTTCAGTACAGAAAATAGAAACCTCAAGACATCAAGCAGAAAGGGATTTAATGTGAATTTGCTACAGTAAAACTGATCATGTGAATTTAGATTTAGTAGCACACCCTTATTTCATTGTATCCAACTCAACACAACCCCACATTTTCCAGGATTGAATATAGCTTCACAGTAGGGGTTTACATTACTTTAAAACATACCTGGTATGACAGTTAACAAATGAAGAACTGAAACAATTAGAATATCCACATTTTGCAATCCCTAATAAATCTAAGCATTATATCAATGGCTGCAAAAGCACCAAAAGGGAGATAACCAAACCTGACATGCCCCAGATGGAAACACATTACACACTGGAAATGGTTTTGCCAAAAAAATCAAACCTGAATCTGATCAAGCTTCCAGATTCAACCACTGGTTCACAGGATAGTGAACACCATAGGGTGTTAACTGCATCATAGGATACAATCAGAAAAAGCTAGATTCTGGAGAACTACAAGAAAAACGACCCACTTTTTCCAATAAAAACTATCCATGCAGAAAACAAGGGTGGTGGTGGGGAACATACAGATTAAAGGGGATTTAAGAAATACGTATTTGGATCCTAAATCAAACTTTTTAAAAATGACATTTATGAGACAGTTGGAAACTTGAACGTTGGAAATTTCATTAAGGAATTATTAGTTTTTTAGGAGTAATGATATTGAGGTATTTTAATCTTATCTTTTAGAGATACTTAGTATATTGAGTACTGAAATATGCTTTCCAAAAATACTTAGATTCAAATCAAAACTTAAAAGTTGAAAGACGTGGAGAAATGAATCTAGCCTGGCTTTGCAGAAATTACTCTTAAGAAAATACAAACAGACATGCCACAGGACCCAACTCCCTCCCCTACAATCATTAAATTGAGGAACTGGGAGGTACCTACTGGAACCCATTATGTCAAGAACATACCACTGCTCCAGAGACCACCATTGTCAGGACTTCCAGGAGCTGTGAAGCTGAGCCGGGGTGGAGGGTGTCCCGGGCAGTGCTTGGAGAGCACTGCAAGCAGGAGGGCATCAACCCTGCCTCTCAGCCACTCCCCAACCCCCATTCTAGAGGCTGCCTTTCACTGCCATAACCAACTGAACACCCTGAACTCTCCGTGAAAGGGAGTCCAGGTGACCTTTTCCTCCTCCAGCTTTATTGAGGTGAAATTGACATCTAACATTGTGTAAGTTTAAGGTACACAATACAATGATTTGATTCATGTATGTATTGTGAAATGATTACCATATAAGGTTAGTTAATACATCCATCACCTCACATAGTTACCTATTGTGTGTGTGTGTGGTGGGAATATATAGGATATACTCTAAGCAACTTTCAAGTATATAATACAGTATTGTTAACTATGTCTGGCTTATTTTAGGATCATCCAGGTTGTCACGAATAGCAGGCTTTCCTTCTTAGGGCTGAATAGCATTCCATCACATATGTATCACATTTTCTTTACCTATTCACCTGTCTATGGACACTCAGGTTATTTCCATACCTTTGTGATGTGAGTAATGCTGCAATGAACATGGGTGTGCAGTTATCTCTTCAATATAGTGATTTCATTTCCTTTGAATATATGCCCAGAAGTGGGGTTGTTAGATCATATGGTTTCTATTTTTAATTTCTTGAGGAACTTCCATACTGTTTCCATACTGACTGTACCAGTTTACATTTCCACCAACAGTATTCAAAGGTTCCCTTTTCTCTACATCCTTGTCAGCATTTGTTATCACTTGTTTTTTGATAATAGTCATCCTAACAGGTATAAGGTGGTATCTCATTGTGGCTTTAATTTGCATTTCCCTGATAACGATGTTGAGCACCTTTTCATGTACCTGTTGGCCACCTATATGTCTGGGATAATGTTCAAGTCCTTTGTACACTTTTTAATTCGTTTATTTTTTTTTTTTTTTCACTGTTGAACAATATGAGGTCTTTGTATATTTTGGATGTTAACCCCTTATTGGATATGTAGTTTGCCAATAATTTTTCCCATTTTCTGGCTTGCCTTTTCCTTTGTTGATGGTTTCCTTTGCTGTACAGAAGCTTTTTAGTTTGATATTGTCCCACTTATTTGTTTTTGCTTTTATTTCCTTGGGTTTTGGTGTCAAGTCCAAAAAAATCATTGCTAAGATCAATATCAAGGAGCTTACCCCCTGTTTTCCTCCCATGAGTTTTATTCTTTCAAGTCTCTTGTTCAAGTCTTTAATCCATTTTAGTTGATTTTTGTGCATGGTATAAGATAGTGGTCCAGTTTCATTCTTTTGCTTGTGACTGTCCAGTTTTCCTAGCACCATTTATTGAAGAGACTATCCTTTCTCCATTATAAATTCTTGGCTCCTTTGTTGCAAATTAATTGACAGTATGTGCATGGGTTTATTTCTGGGCTCTCTGTTCTCTCCCCTTGATCTATGTGTCTGTTTTTATGTAAATGCCAAACTCTTGATTACTATAGCTTTGCAATATAGTTTGAAATCAGGAAGTGTGATGCCTCCAACTTTATTCTTCTTTCTCAGTATTGCTTTGGCTGTTCTGGGTCTTTTGTGGTTCTATGCAAATTTTA